GCACACTTTATAAAGAAATACACATTTTTAAAATAAAAAATTAAATACTGCAACTAGTTAGGACCTGAAAACTTTTAACACTAGCAACAACTTCAGCTTGTATATCAACAAAACTAACTATTCAAGTTTTTGGCTAAAAAGATTAACCTATCCACATTTTCTGAAGAGAGCACAGATCTGGTTGCAGTGACAATATCTCCAGCAGTAGAAAATGTTAGATGTGTTGCCTGCCCGATCTCCGTGGAACAATGTCGGCATACAACTTTAAATTTATCCACTCGTCTATCCCCGTTATGTATTTTAACAGAGAAGCCTAAGTGTTCCCAAACAGGAGACCGTAGTGAGGTGGGAGGGTCTTCAAGCTCTGGTTTCTCTTTCGCTGTTGCCATGTGTGACGCTTGTGCCGGATAGCCAGTGGAAAAAAAAGGAGCTTCAAGACGAACACATCATTTCAAACTCAAACCTTTATAGTTAGCTTCCTTCAGCATCACAAGAAATTACATTTCAAAACACAAAATAAAAGTGAACAATATGTAACAGGGTAGCGGTTTCAGGGGAAGAGCAGCGCACACACTCGTCTCTCACTCTCCTCTCACACACACACACAGACTCCTGCAGCGCACACTGAGGGTTTGGGGCGCAGCTCTTAAAGGGCAACATACATACATAATGTGGTACATAGACCTAGCAGTAGGCGTGACACATGATGCCATTTCTCATAGCTACCCGTGCGTGCAGCTCTACTGGGAGTCACTCAGTAGCGTCCGTGTGGAAACTCGCCTAGGAACATTGTTCCGCTGCGCTTAATATCGCGCTAATAATAAATTGATATTATTTAATACATACCGTGAACCGTTACACCCCTTTTACTTGGACGGCACAGATGATATATATATATGCCATCTGTGCCGTCCAAGTAAAATCTGAGATTGAGCTTTGTTAGAACCCTACTTTTGGAGGAGTTCATCATCTCATTCTGTCTCTTTTTCCTCATCTGGGTTAGGTGGATTCCTTTTGAGAAATAATTCCTAAATTCAAAATTCAAATGCTCTCAATATTATTTGTAATACCTCAATTGTCTCCCAAAAATTGGTTATTTTACTGTTTCCCTGACAGTGGCCTTCAACTTAAAAGGTTGTCAGTTCGAAGCTCACGGGTGACCTACCTAGAAGGAGTTTGCATGTTCTCCCCGTGCTTCCGGGGGTTTCCTTTGGGTACTCCGGTTTCCCCCCCAAATCTCCCAAAATATGCAGTTAGGTTAATTGAATCTTAATTCCCCTTAGGTATAAATATGTGAGTGAATTTTCCCCTGCGATGGACTGGCAACCTGTCCAGGGTGTACCCCACCTCTCACCCAATGTGCGCTGGAGTTAGGCACCGGCAGACCCCGTGACCACAAAAAAAGGGAATAACCAGGTTGGAAAATGAATGAATTTGAACCAAAAACCTGGTAGACTTTGCCCGAGACTTGCTACGCAGGTGGCCGTCTTTCACAACACAATGGTGAATGTTCACTTAGCTTCTTTAGATGAGGCACTCTGCTGCCTGGCTGCTTGATTTTATACACCTGTGGTCTTGGAAGTGATTGGAACATCTCGATTAAATTATTTAGATGGATGTTCAACGTTCAGCAGGTCTATTTATATTCCATGCATAGTTCAAGCTAATTCTGTCTTTCTTGAGTAAAGCTTGAATATGTATGAATATGTTGTGTACCGATTCATGAATATACAGATGTTATGACCTTGAGAAAGTGTCCAGACTCTTTGGGGCTGGTTGTGATTCCACATGAAAGGCAAATTGTTTCTTCGTTCTTTGCAACACTGTAATGCAGTCACTGCATGTCTTATAATGAGCCAAGTCATTCCTAATTGACAGTTTCTCTGGCTTTAAAAGACAGACTTGTTGATCAGGCTCCCCCAAGAGACCATCTCCATTGAAAAAGGTCATGTGCTTAAAATGGAGGCACTTTCTGCTCATTAGAAGCAAAAGAGGCACTCATTCTCTAAAGTAAAAAAGGCACATCTATAAATTGGTGTCAAGGTGGGATGAAAATATAGAGAACACTTTATTATATGTTGGAATTGAAAACATAGGTTCTCAAAGTGTGGCATTTACTCTCAGAAGCGTTTCTAAATACCTGCAAGAATTGCAGTTGCTGGTTTACCCCACCGTATACTGCTTAGAAATGATCATTCTCTGTTTAGTGGTATTTAGTGGCACCTATAGGGATAAGATATAATCACAGCCATGGTTTAAAACTCACTTGGACTGTGTTCAGAAGACACACCTGGAGCAGTTGCCAACCATGGCTTTCTGTGGTTAGGGAGCAGTCGTGAAAACTGGTGCCTTGCTCAAGGCCACTACAATTGAAGTTGTCATTGGGCAGAGAGAGTGAGGTTTCTTCTCTGTACCCGATTGCATCTCCCTATTTGAGAGGTTCCAATCTGAAAAAACATGCCCGCTGTGAAAGGTTCTGGTATGTGGTGGAAGTGAAATTTTTACTGTGGCAGTGGCAGTAAAAGGGGTAGCTGCCAAAAAATACATGACAGCTGCCTCAAAATACGTGACCACTCCCCCATAACAAGTGGTGGCTGGTCCAAAATGTGTGGTAATTGTCCCAAATTAAGTGGTAAGTGATCGGTTTAGTGAGAATAAAGAATGTTTGTCACACTTCTCTGCGTTGTTCCCATTGTGATCCTGGCAATGTGTCCGCTTCCACAAAATTATTAGCTCATTGTTCACTGAATCCTCTTTGCTTATTCTATAATTAGTTCAAGACACGCGTGTATAGTTCTCTGAAGTTATTATCCTAATATTTGTGCATTATTCAAGGAAAACTAGAAGCTTGTAATGGCCAGTTATACAGACTTGAGCCCTAAGGTGTACTGTTGTTTAAGGGAATGGTGTCACAGCGCATGAGAATGCAGTTTTGGACATGTATACACAATTTAAGCATTGAGGAGCGCTTCAGGCTCAAGCTCTTTTTCCACAGTTGACATTATATCAGCCTTTACTTTGTATGTAGAGGTATTTATCTGGAGAGAATAAAGGATGTGAGCACCATTTCTCCGCATTGTTCTCATTGTTTGATCCTGGGGTTTACTGGCAGCGAATTACAAGGTGCCACTAAATTATTAGCTCATACTTCGTTGAATGGCTCTTCATTTGTTCTATAATTAGATCGAGATGCATATGTATGCTTCTCCGATGTTATTAAAAATTATATTATTATTAAGTGATCAGAGCAAATTCTGCTATGCTATGACAGGCTTTGTGAGTCATTGCCTTTATACAAAGTTTAAGACGTTTAGAGTCTTTTAAAGAAAACATGTAATAAAACTGTTTATTCTTCTGAGTCTTATCTTTCCCTGATTTGTTTGCACAGCCTGGAGCCGTGTATTCCCACTGTATTTAATTTTATGGCCCAGAATTCTTTTCCGCCATTCTGTTTGAAAACCGGAGCCTGTCTGCGCGCAAGGGATCATGGGGAATCGGAGTGAGGCGAATGGAGCACGTGACCAAAAAGTCAATTGATTTAACCATTAGGTCACAACTGCCTGAAATTACTTTTGCTGACTCATATATGGACATGGAATCTAACATAAAACATTGGCAAAATTGGGGATTACACCCTGTCTTGTGATGTCACTATCTGCTCCTTCTGTTTGCCTTTACAAAGCACTATGCTTTGCTTTCTCCTGATTGTCTACACACGACAAATGTGTAGTTGTCTAATTATTTCACCGGTTTCACCTGGTGTTGGCTTTGCGTCTCAATTACTCTAGTGACACATCTCAAACTTTGACTGAATGCCAAGCTATATGCTAATTCACTATAGCATCATAATATTACTTGCAAATTCTTGCTAGCCCATTAAGGTTTGGAATTAGTCGGGAAGGAAAATTGATGGCATTTTCTTCTTTGTGTTGAACTATTCACAAGCTTCGTTTAATAATTTGGTCATGGAACTCAAATCCAAAGTCAAACCATAGACTGCTGTGAGACTAAATTGATATTGACCAGAATAATTTACATCACAGCAGTCTTTCAGGTATTCATCATGTAAGGAATGATCAATGCTAATTTCCATTCCTGCATGTCTAGAAAAGGATCAAACATTGCATTGCTTAGGCCAGCGTGTTGCCCATTTCTGGTGTGGTCTGTATTAGTTTCCTCTGCTATTACAGGAAACGGTTGATAAGGCATAGCAGGCAATCCATTCATGCAAACTGGGAGCATTTGATTTATTCCATGAGATTTAAATCAACATTCAAAAACTGTGTGCAACCATCTTTATTTTTTCCATATACTTTGATTCACTTCTCTTTTTGTTCACTCAATTCATTTGAGTTTCTCTCATTTTCTAGATCTAATTTGAATTTGTCTACAATAATCACTGTTATTTATTGTTATCAGCCACCAAACAATCTGAAGTGCATGTTCTTCATAGACACAAAGAACATTCAGGGTCTACTCAGAAAGTTGTTCTAGCTGTAACATAAACCTAGAACCGTATTGTAGCAGAAGTTGGGGTAGCTAAGACCTGATTGACACAACACGTGAGGAGAACATGCTTGCACTGCCCCTGTGTGCATCGTAGCTGCTCAACGGGTCAGATCATATGTGTGCTCCAATCATATATGTGTTTGTAAACAAGCTCAGAATCGCAAATTCCTGTCTGAAAAATACTTCTTTGGCTTCATTTTAAAATTAGAAAAGAACTTGCTGTTGTGCAACTTTATTTAAAAGCTCTCTGAGCCTTGAATTATGTAGTCCAATTTAGCCACAGAGATGAGAAGGATTTTACTTAAACATAACCTTAACAAATGTTTGTCAAACTTGTGGCTTTTCAAAAGTCAATAAAATCAACTAAAATATTAAACATTTTACCAATATGCGATAATAAAATGAATATGTTCCCATAAAGGGAGTCAAACCCTGGCCACCCGGGCGAAACCAGGAAGTCATTTTCAGCAAGTTGTCATTATGTTTTAGTAGGGGAAGTAGCTTAATGGTTAAGCGCATGCTTTGCATGTGAGAGGTCCTGGGTTCAATCCCCAGTATATTCAAGAATTTGTGGCTTTACAAAAGTCAACTCCATATTTGGAGTTGAACCCTGTGAGTCTGGGTGAAAACCATTAATACTAACTGCTACACCTTCTAAAGGAAAGAGATGAGATGAGAGGGGCATTCCTTCCTCCAATCTATTACAAAAGACTCTCAGTGAGGTCTGATTCTTCAGCATCTACAATAATTTTGTGGCTTTTCAAAAGTCATTATACTCAACTTAACAAGTAAACAACATTGTACCTATAAGGCGGTAATATAATGGTTATTTATTGGTAATATTACGTTCCCGTTCGGAAGTGAAACCCGGGCCATCTGGGTGAAAACTAGGAATCCTAACCACTAGTTAGGAAATCTCTCAGAAAAGAGATGAAAAGGCATTGTTTAATAAATAGATGAGAGCCATTATCGGTCCCTAAATTTTTGGTGAAGGCCATTTCACCTAGTATTTTGTATTGACAGTAGCTCATTGGTAGAGTGCATGCTTTGTATGTATGAGGTACTGGGTTCATACCCCAGCATAAGTCATTATGAATAACCTAAAGATAAAAAAAACAATTTTACCAATAAACGGTAATAAAATGTATGTTTTCATCCTGGGAGTTAATCCTGGGCCACCTGTGTGAAAAGCAAGAATCCTAACCACTAGACCATATGGGCCTTGTTATAGAATGAGACGAAAGCCATATTTGGTCCTGCAATTTATTGCGAAGACAATTTCACCAACTATATTAACTATACTGTTGTTGCAGTAGGGGATGTAGCTCAGGGGTAGAGTATATGCTTTGTATGTATGAAATTCTGGGTTCAAGCAGCAGCATCTCCAAAAATTTTGTGGCTATTCAAAAGTCACTGTAAAATCAAATGAAAGGTTAAATATCATTTTACCAATGAGCGATATTAAAATAGATATGTTACCATGCCAGGAGTTGAACCCAGGCCGCCTGGGTGAAAATCAGGAATCATAACCTCTAGGCCATATGGGAACTTGTTAACCAATTAGATGAGAATCGTATTTGGTCCTCCAATATATTACGAAAGACATCATCACCAATTTGTCACTATGCTACAGTAGGGCATTTATCTCAGAGGAAGCGTGCTTGCTTTGCATGTATGAGGTCCTGGGATCAATCCCCAGCATCTCCAAAATTTTGTGGCTATTCAAAAGTCATTATACTCAACTAAAAGATTAAACAACCTTTTACCAATGAGCCATAATAAAATATATGTTCCCATGCCGGGAGTCAAACCACGGCCGCATAGGTGAAAACCAGGAACATTGTTAAGGATTGAGATGAGAGTCTTATTCCGTCCGCATAGGTGAAAACCAGGAATCCTAAACACTATAGCCTATGGGAGCTTGTTAACCAATGAGATGTGTATTCGGTCCTCCACGACACCCAACCACTAGACCATATGGAACATTGTTAAGGATTGAGCCCAATAAAATGTATATTCCCATACCGGGAGTTGAACCCGGGCTGCCTGGGTGAAAAACAGGAATCCTAACTGCTAGACCATATGGGAGCTTGTTAACCACAAAGATGAGAGGTGTATTCAGTCCTATATTTTACAAAAGACATCTTCACCAATTAGTATTTATACTGCAGTAGGGGATGTAGCTCAGTGGTAGAGCGCATGCTTTGCATGTATGAGGTCCTGGGTTCAATCCCCAGCATCTCCATATATTTTGGTGCCTTTTCAAAATTTATTACAAATAACTTAAAGATTAAACAACAATTTACCAATGTATGGTAATATGATATATGTTTCCACACCATGAGTCGAACCCCAGCCACCTGGGTGAAAACCATGAAACCCAACTAATTAACCCCTTTTGGAACCTTGTTAAGGAGTTAGATGAGAGGTGTATTCCGTGCTACATTATATTATGAAAGATTTCTACTCCAAGTTGACAAACAGGTCAATAGGGGATGTAGCTCAGTGGTAGAGCGGATGCTTAGCAATGTATGAGGTCCTGAGTTCAATCCCTGGCATCTCCTAAAGTTTTGTGGCTTTTCAAAAGTCATTGTAATCAACTAAAAGATTAAGCAACAATTTACCAATGTGTGGTAAATCTAGATGCGTTTTGTAGCTTTTCAAAAGTAGTTATAACCAGCTGAAAAAGATAAAACATTTTACCAATGACCGGTTATAAAATGCATGTTCCCATACCGGGAGTCGAACCCGGGCCACCTGGGTGAAAACCAGGAATCCTAACCGCTAGACCATATGGGAGATTGTTAACTACTGAGATGAAATGCGTATTCGGTCCTTCACGACACCCAACCACTAGACCATATGGAACATTGTTAAGGAATGAGATGAGAGTCTTATTCTGTCCACCAATATATTACTAAAAGAAATAAGTTGTCTTCACTTATCAGTTAGTTAAACTTTTTACCAATGAGCGGTTATAGAATGTATGTTCCCATACCGGGAGTTGAACCTGGGCAAAAACCAGGAATCCTAACCACTAGACCATATGAGACTTTGGTAACCAATGAGATGAGATGCGTATTCGGTCCTTCACGACACCCAACCACTAGACCATATGGAACATTGTTAAGGAATGAGATGATAGTCTTTTTCCGTCCACCAATATATTACTAAAAGCAATAAGTTATCTTCAATTATCAGTAGGGGTTGAGCTCAAAGGAAACGCACTTGCTTTGCAAGATTGAGGTCCTGGGATCAATCCCCAGCATCTTCCACAGTTTTGTGGCTTCTCAAAAGTCACAATTTACCAATGAGCGGTTATAAAATTCATGTTCCCATACAAGGAGTTGAACCCGGACCACCTGGGTGAAAACCAGAAATCCTAACTGCTAGACCCTATGTGACCTGTTTAACCGAAGAGATGAAATGCGTATTCGGTCCTCCATGACACCCAACCACAGGACCATATGGAACATTGTTAAGGAATGAGATGAGTGTCTTATTCCGTCCACCAATATATTACTAAAAGCAACAAGTTGTCTTGGCTGTAAACCAGGAATCCTAACCACTAGGCCATATGGGACCTTGCTAACCAATGAGATGAATTGCGTATTCAGTCCTCTAGGAGACCCAACCATTAGACCAAATGGAACATTGTAAAGGAAGGAGATGAGAGTCTTTTTCCGTCCACCATTATATTACTAAGAGCAACAAGTTATCTTGACTTATCAGTAGGGGACGAAGCTCGGAGGAAACTAGCTTGCTTTGCATGATTGAGGTCGTGGGATCTATCCCCAGCATCTTCCACAGTTTTGTGGCTTTTCAAAAGTCACATTTTACCAATGAGCGGTTATAAAATGCATGTTCCCATACCAGGAGTTGAACCCAGGTCACCTGGGCTAAAACCAGGAATCCTAACCGCTAGACCATATGGGACCTTGTTAACCACTGAGATGAAATGCGTATTCGGTCCTTCACGACACCCAACCATTAGACCATATGGAACATCGTTAAGGAATGAGATGAGAGTAGTTATAAACAGCTGAAAAAGATAAAACATTTTACCAATGACCAGTTATAAAATGCATGTTCCCATACCGGGAGTCGAACCCACCCGCCTGGGTGAAAACCAGGAATCCTAACCGCTAGACCATATGGGAGCTTGTTTACCACTGAGATGAAATGCGTATTCGGTCCTCCACGACACCCAACCACAGGACCATATAGAACATTGTTAAGGAATGAGATGAGAGTCTTATTCCTTCTGCCAATATATTTCTAAAAGCAACAAGTTGTCTTGACTTATCACTAGGCAACATAGCTCAGATGAAGCGAGCTTGCTTTGCATGTATGATGTATGATTGTTAAGGAAGGAGATGAGAGTCTTTTTCCGTCCACCAATATATTACTAAGAGCAACAAGTTGTCTTGACTTATCAGTAGGGGACGAAGCTCAGAGGAAACTCGCTTGCTTTGCATGATTGAGGTCCTGGGATCTATCCCCAGCATCTTCCAGAGTTTTGTGGCTTTTCAAAAGTCACATTTTACCAATGAGCAGTTATAAAATGCATGTTTCCATTCCAGGAGCTGAACCCAGGTCGCCTGGGCTAAAACCAGGAATCCTAACCGCTAGACCATATGGGACCTTGTTAACCATTGAGATGAAATGCGTATTCGGTCCTTCACGACACCCAACCACTAGACCATATGGAACATTGTTAAGGAAGGAGATGAGAGTCTTGCTGAGGTAGGGGATGTAGCTCAGTGGTAGAGCGCATACTTCGCATGTATGAGGTCTTGGGTTCAATCCCCAGCATCTCCAAATATTTTTGTGGCTTTTCAAATTCATTACAAATAACTTAAAGATTAAGCAGCAATTTACCAATGTGTGGTAAATCTAGATGCGAGGCGTATTCCGTGCTCCATTATACTATGAAAGATTTCTACTCCAAGTTGACAAACTGGACAACAGGGGATGTAGCTCAGTGGTAGAGCGCATGCTTTGCTTGTATGAGTTTCTGGGTTCAATCCCCAGCATCTCCAAAAGTTTTGTAGCTTTTCAAAAGTCATTGTAATCAACTGAAAGATTAAACTTTTTACCAATGAGCGGTTATAAAATGCATGTTCCCATACCGGGAGTCGAACCAGGGAAACCAGGAAACCAGGAATCCTAACCGCTAGACCATATGGGAGCTTGTTAACCACTGAGATGAAATGCGTATTCGGTCCTCTACGACACCCAACCACAGGACCATATAGAACATTGTTAAGGAATGAGATGAGAGTCTTATTCCTTCTACCAATATATTTCTAAAAGCAACAAGTTGTCTTGACTTATCACTAGGCAACATAGCTCAGATGAAGCGAGCTTGCTTTGCATGTATGATGTATGATTGTTAAGGAAGGAGATGAGAGTCTTTTTCCGTCCACCAATATATTACTAAGAGCAACAAGTTGTCTTGACTTATCAGTAGGGGACGAAGCTCAGAGGAAACTCGCTTGCTTTGCATGATTGAGGTCTTGGGATCTATCCCCAGCATCTTCCAGAGTTTTGTGGCTTTTCAAAAGTCACATTTTACCAATGAGCAGTTATAAAATGCATGTTTCCATACCAGGAGCTGAACCCAGGTCACCTGGGCTAAAACCAGGAATCCTAACCGCTAGACCATATGGGACCTTGTTAACCACTGAGATGAAATGCGTATTCGGTCCTTCACGACACCCAACCACTAGACCATATGGAACATTGTTAAGGAATGAGTGAGAGTCTTATTCCGTCCACCAATATATTACTAAAAGCAACACGTTTTCTTGGCTGAAAACCAGGAATCCTAACCACTAGACCATATGGGACCTTGCTAACCAATGAGATGAAGTGCGTATTCGGTCCTCCAGGAGACTTAACCACTAGACCAAAAGGGAACATTGTTAAGGAAGGAGATGAGAGTCTTGCTGAGGTAGGGGATGTAGCTCAGTGGTAGTTCGCATGTATGAGGTCTTGGGTTCAATCCCCAGCATCTCCAAATATTTTTGTGGCTTTTCAAATTCATTACAAATAACTTAAAGATTAAGCAGCAATTTACCAATGTGTGGTAAATCTAGATGCGAGGCGTATTCCGTGATACATTATACTATGAAAGATTTCTACTCCAAGTTGCCAAACTGGACAACAGGGGATGTAGCTCAGTGGTAGATTGCATGCTTTGCATGTATGAGGTCCTGGGATCTATCCCCAGCATCTTCCACAGTTTTGTGGCTTTTCAAAAGTCATTATAAACAGCTGAAAGATTAAACATTTTACTAATGAGCGGTTATAAAATGCATGTTCCCATACCGGGAGTCGAACCCGGGCCGCCTGGGTGAAAACCAGGAATCCTAACCGCTAGACCATATGGGACCTTGCTAACCAATGAGATGAATTGCATATTCGGTCCTCCACGACACCCAACCATTAGACCATATGGAACATCGTTAAGGAATGAGATGAGAGTAGTTATAACCAGCTGAAAAAGATAAAACATTTTACCAATGACCGGTTATAAAATGCATGTTCCCATACCGGGAGTCGAACCCGGGCCGCCTGGGTGAAAACCAGGAATCCTATCCGCTAGACCATATGGGAGCTTGTTAACCACTGAGATGAAATGCGTATTCGGTCCTCTACGACACCCAACCACAGGACCATATAGAACATTGTTAAGGAATGAGATGAGAGTCTTATTCCTTCTACCAATATATTTCTAAAAGCAACAAGTTGTCTTGACTTATCACTAGGCAACATAGCTCAGATGAAGCGGGCTTGCTTTGCATGTATGATGTATGATTGTTAAGGAAGGAGATGAGAGTCTTTTTCCGTCCACCAATATATTACTAAGAGCAACAAGTTGTCTTGGCTGAAAACCAGGAATCCTAACCACTAGACCATATGGGACCTTGCTAACCAATGAGATGAATTGCGTATTCGGTCCTCCAGGAGACTTAACCACTAGACCAAAAGGGAACATTGTTAAGGAAGGAGATGAGAGTCTTGCTGAGGTAGGGGATGTAGCTCAGTGGTAGAGCGCATGCTTCGCATGTATGAGGTCTTGGGTTCAATCCCCAGCATCTCCAAATATTTTGGTGGCTTTTCAAATTCATTACAAATAACTTAAAGATTAAGCAGCAATTTACCAATGTGTGGTAAATCTAGATGCGAGGCGTATTCCGTGCTCCATTATACTATGAAAGATTTCTACTCCAAGTTGACAAACTGGACAACAGGGGATGTAGCTCAGTGGTAGAGCGCATGCTTTGCATGTAAGAGATCCTGGGTTCAATCCCCAGCATCTCCAAAAGTTTTGTAGCTTTTCAAAAGTCATTGTAATCAACTGAAAGATTAAACTTTTTACCAATGAGCGGTTATAAAATGTGTGTTCCCATAACGGGAGTTAAACCTGTGCCACCCGGCTGAAAACCAGGAATTCTAACCGCTAGACCATATTGGACCTTGCTAACCAATGAAATGAATTGCGTATTCAGTCCTCCAGGAGACCCAACCACTAGACCAAATGAAACATTGTAAAGGAAGGAGATGAGAGTCTTTTTTCTCGTCCACCATTATATTACTAAGAGCAACAAGTTGTCTTGACTTATCAGTAGGGGACGAAGCTCAGAGGAAACTTGCTTGCTTTGCGTGATTGAGGTCCTGGGATCTATCCCCAGCATCTTCCAAAGTTTTGTGGCTTTTCAAAAGTCATTATAATCAGCTGAAAGATTAAACATTTTACTAATGAGCGGTTATAAAATGCATGTTCCCATACCGGGAGTCGAACCCAGGCCGCCTGGGTGAAAACCAGGAATCCTAACCGCTAGACCATATGGGACCTTGCTAACCAATGAGATGAATTGCGTATGCGGTCCTCCACGACACCCAACCATTAGACCATATGGAACATCGTTAAGGAATGAGATGAGAGTAGTTAAACCAGCTGAAAAAGATAAAACATTTTACCAATGACCGGTTATAAAATGCATGTTCCCATACCGTGAGTCGAACCCGGGCCGCCTGGGTGAAAACCAGGAATCCTAACCGCTAGACCATATGGGAGCTTGTTAACCACTGAGATGAAATGCGTATTCGGTCCTCTACGACACCCAACCACAGGACCATATAGAACATTGTTAAGGAATGAGATGAGAGTCTTATTCCTTCTACCAATATATTTCTAAAAGCAACAAGTTGTCTTGACTTATCACTAGGCAACATAGCTCAGATGAAGCGAGCTTGCTTTGCATGTATGATGTATGATTGTTAAGGAAGGAGATGAGAGTCTTTTTCCGTCCACCAATATATTACTAAGAGCAACAAGTTGTCTTGGCTGAAAACCAGGAATCCTAACCACTAGACCATATGGGACCTTGCTAACCAAAGAGATGAATTGCGTATTCGGTCCTCCAGGAGACTTAACCACTAGACCAAAAGGGAACATTGTTAAGGAAGGAGATGAGAGTCTTGCTGAGGTAGGGGATGTAGCTCAGTGGTAGAGCGCATGCTTCGCATGTATGAGTTTTTGGGTTCAATCCCCAGCATCTCCAAATATTTTTGTGGCTTTTCAAATTCATTACAAATAACTTAAAGATTAAGCAGCAATTTACCAATGTGTGGTAAATCTAGATGTGAGGCGTATTCCGTGCTCCATTATACTATGAAAGATTTCTACTCCAAGTTGACAAACTGGACAACAAGGGATGTAGCTCAGTGGTAGAGCGCATGCTTTGCATGTAGGAGATCCTGGGTTCAATCCCCAGCATCTCCAAAAGTTTTGTAGCTTTTCAAAAGTCATTGTAATCAACTGAAGATTAAACTTTTTACCAATGAGCGGTTATAAAATGTGTGTTCCCATAACGGGAGTTAAACCTGTGCCAACCGGCTGAAAACCAGGAATTCTAACCGCTAGACCATATTGGACCTTGCTAACCAATGAAATGAATTGCGTATTCAGTCCTCCAGGAGACCCAACCACTAGACCAAATGAAACATTGTAAAGGAAGGAGATGAGAGTCTTTTTCTCGTCCACCATTATATTACTAAGAGCAACAAGTTGTCTTGACTTATCAGTAGGGGACGAAGCTCAGAGGAAACTTGCTTGCTTTGCGTGATTGAGGTCCTGGGATCTATCCCCAGCATCGTCCAAAGTTTTGTGGCTTTTCAAAAGTCATTATAATCAGCTGAAAGATTAAACATTTTACTAATGAGCGGTTATAAAATGCAAGTTCCCATACCGGGAGTCGAACCCAGGCCGCCTGGGTGAAAACCAATAATCCTAACCGCTAGACCATATGGGACCTTGCTAAAAAATGAAATGAATTGTGTATGCGGTCCTCCACGACACCCAACCACAGGACCATATAGAACATTGTTAAGGAAGAGATGAGAGTCTTATTCCTTCTACCAATATATTTCTAAAAGCAACAAGTTGTCTTGACTTATCACTAGGCAACATAGCTCAGATGAAGCGAGCTTGCTTTGCATGTATGATGTATGATTGTTAAGGAAGGAGATGAGAGTCTTTTTCCGTCCACCAATATATTACTAAGAGCAACAAGTTGTCTTGACTTATCAGTAGGGGACGAAGCTCAGAGGAAACTCGCTTGCTTTGCATGATTGAGGTCCTGGGATCTATCCCCAGCATCTTCCAGAGTTTTGTGGCTTTTCAAAAGTCACATTTTACCAATGAGCAGTTATAAAATGCATGTTCCCATACCAGGAGCTGAACCCAGGTCGCCTGGGCTAAAACCAGGAATCCTAACCGCTAGACCATATGGGAGCTTGTTAACCACTGAGATGAAATGCGTATTCGGTCCTCTACGACACCCAACCACAGGACCATAAAGAACATTGTTAAGGAATGAGATGAGAGTCTTATTCCTTCTGCCAATATATTTCTAAAAGCAACAAGTTGTCTTGACTTATCACTAGGCAACATAGCTCAGATGAAGCGAGCTTGCTTTGCATGTATGATGTATGATTGTTAAGGAAGGAGATGAGAGTCTTTTTCCGTCCACCAATATATTACTAAGAGCAACAAGTTGTCTTGGCTGAAAACCAGGAATCCTAACCACTAGACCATATGGGACCTTGCTAACCAATGAGATGAATTGCGTATTCGGTCCTCCAGGAGACTTAACCACTAGACCAAATGAAACATTGTAAAGGAAGGAGATGAGAGTCTTTTTCTCGTCCACCATTATATTACTAAGAGCAACAAGTTGTCTTGACTTATCAGTAGGGGACGAAGCTCAGAGGAAACTTGCTTGCTTTGCGTGATTGAGGTCCTGGGATCTATCCCCAGCATCTTCCAAAGTTTTGTGGCTTTTCAAAAGTCATTATAATCAGCTGAAAGATTAAACATTTTACTAATGAGCGGTTATAAAATGCATGTTCCCATACCGGGAGTCGAACCCGGGCCGCCTGGGTGAAAACCAGGAATCCTAACCGCTAGACCATATGGGACCTTGCTAACCAATGAGATGAATTGCGTATTCGGTCCTCCACGACACCCAACCATTAGACCATATGGAACATCGTTAAGGAATGAGATGAGAGTAGTTATAACCAGCTGAAAAAGATAAAACATTTTACCAATGAACGGTTATAAAATGCATGTTCCCATAACGGGAGTTAAACCTGTGCCACCCGGCTGAAAACCAGGAATTCTAACCGCTAGACCATATTGGACCTTGCTAACCAATGAAATGAATTGCGTATTCAGTCCTCCAGGAGACCCAACCACTAGACCAAATGAAACATTGTAAAGGAAGGAGATGAGAGTCTTTTTCTCGTCCACCATTATATTACTAAGAGCAACAAGTTGTCTTGACTTATCAGTAGGGGACGAAGCTCAGAGGAAACTTGCTTGCTTTGCGTGATTGAGGTCCTGGGATCTATCCCCAGCATCTTCCAAAGGTTTGTGGCTTTTCAAAAGTCATTATAATCAGCTGAAAGATTAAACATTTTACTAATGAGCGGTTATAAAATGCATGTTCCCATACCGGGAGTCGAACCCGGGCCGCCTGGAAACCAGGAATCCTAACCGCTAGACCATATGGGA